CTAAAATTGTCTCTCTGCTCTTTGTTTCCCATTAGAAAATCCGAATATTCCCAGAGGACCAGAGGACTCCAACGGTGAGCGGTGCTGGTGGCAGTGGGATTTTTGTGGAGATGCTTGGGGAGGGAAGGGCTGTGTGGAGAGGGCCTGGCCTTGCCTTGGCCTGGGTCACCTCTCCTTGTCTCACTCCAGACCCTCACACTCTCTCCTTGCCTTGTCCCAAGCTCTTGCCCATCCTTCCTTGACTCATCCCGAGCCCTTTCTGATCTGTCCTTGCCTCATTCCAATCCCTTACCCATCTCTACCTCACTCCAAGTCCTTTCCCCTCTCTCCTCACCTCATTCCCAGCTCTAGCCTCGTCCTCAGCCCTTTCCCATCTCTCCTCACCTCAGTCCAAGACCTTTCCCATCTCTCTTCACCTCAGTCCAAGACCTTTCCCATCTCTCTTCACCTCATTCCAAAACCTTGCCCATCTCTACCTCACTCCAAGTCCTTTCCCCTCTCTCCTTACCTCACTCCAAGCCCTTTCCGATCTCCTAGCCTCATTCCAACCCTTTCCCATCTCTCCTTACCTCATTCCATGTCCTTTCCCATCTCTCCTTGCCTCATTCCAAGCCCTTTCCCATCTCTCCTTACCTCATTCCATGTCCTTTCCCATCTCTCCTCGCCTCATTCCAGGCCTTTTCCCGTCTCCTTGCCTCATTCCACATCCTTTCCTATCTCTTCTCATTCCCAGCTCTCTCCCATGTCCTCATGAACATCCTCACACCAAAAGGGACCCCGCGGACACTCCCACCCCATCCCTCATCTCCACCCAACCCCCAGGCCAAATTTTGGGGGAGGATCCCCTCCTAACCAGTGGTGCCCCCATCCTGCTCTGAACCCCAGCATTGGGATGTGGCTCCATGAACTCCTGATCCCTTTTTCCTCCTCTCCAGGTTCACTTCCCGGCCACTGCGGCTTCAGATTCGTTTTGGCGCTCACCCTGACAGTGATCCTGGAGCTCACGTGAAGCTTCACCTCCTCCTCCTCCTCTTCCTCCTCAGTGTCCTGCTCCTCCCGGCATTCCTGCCTCCAGCCATCGGGTCTCCCGCTCTTTTTTTTTTCTATACTCTCGACAGTCTCGGTCTCTTTCGTGTCTTGGCTTCCTCAGACGATTGAATTAAAGGGAAAAAGGAAAACCTCTTCTGGGAGAAGGTCGTAATTCATGTTTTACCTGTGCTGGGATTCCCAGCTCCGTCTCGGGGTTCCCAGCTCTGTCTCGGGGTTCCCAGCACCATCTTGGGATTCTCAGTTGTGTGTCGGGGTTCCCAGTTCCATATTGGGGTTCCCAGCTCTGTCTTGGCGTTCCCAGTTGTGTGTCAGGGTTCCCAGTCCCATCTTGGTGTTCCCAGCTCTGTCTTGGGGTTCCCAGTTGTGTGTCAGGGTTCCCAGTCCCATCTTGGTGTTCCCAGCTCTGTCTTGAAGTTCCCAGGTCCATGTCAAGGTTCTCAGCTCCATGTCAAGGTTCCCAGCTCTGTCTTGGAGTTCCCAGCACTATCTTGGCATTCCCAGCT